ACATACCTTTTGGTCTATGCACTTTGCTTGTATTTTGTTATAGGTCCCTATACTTTTTTTAATTTTTCAAGTCTCTACACATTCATTTTTTGCTATTTTAAGTCTTTAAATGAATAAAATAAACAAAATATATAGACTTTAAATGAACGTAAAATACCAAAAAAATAAAAGTATAAAGATTCAAAATATTAGAAAAAAAATGCAGGGACATATAGCAAAAGATGAGCAAAATGTATGGAGCAAAAGATATATTTTTTCTAATAAAAAATATAAAGTTTGATATGTTGGAAATATCATATAATAAATAGTTCAACATATATTAATATTAAAATTAACATGATTCAAAAATATGTATGATACATTTATTTCATTAAAAATAATTAACTAACTGAACAAATCTTTGTTGGTTGATAAAATTTTTAAATAATATAAAATTTGATATATTAAATAATAAAATTATAAAACATGAAATTTGATTTATTGGGCAAAAATTTTATAAATAGTTGAATATACATTAATACTAAAAATTAACATGATTAATTATTAAATATATAATATTAAAAACTTAACCTCTAATTATTATTATTTAAATGATTATTATATTTTTAATAAATTAATAATATTTTTTAAATAAAAGAATAATAGGTTTTATTTGGGATATCATGGTCAAAATATACCCCATTTTCTAAATTCACTTTTTAAAAGCTCTATCATCTTACAAATTCATTCTCAAAAGCACTTTTAAATACACTTTCATCTCTTTATTATTTTTCTATTCAATATCCCATATCCTAAAAGTGGAAAAGCATTTTTCAAATGTCATAAGTGGGTTACTCAAACATACCCTGACTCTCTCCAACTTCAAATTATAAGACAATCTCATATAAAATTATATACTTCATCCGTTCAAAAATGTAAGGTATTTTTTTAAAGAGTTAGATGTTAAAAAATGTAAGATATTTTTATTCTTTTGAAGTATAATTATTATCTTTTTTTAAAAGTACCCTTATTGATAATGACTTCATATTTATTGTAAGATATTTAATAGGGATAAATATGAAAAGATAGGTTAATTATAAAAGAGATAACTACTTTATTGGGAGGTGGGATTCAGTTAAAAATGTCTTACATTTTTTAAGGAGAGAGTATATCACTTTACAAATTCAACTTTTTAAGGTAAAAGTATAAATTTTAAAAATATCTTTTAATTAATATAATTTTAAATATTCAATCATTTTAATTATATTTCTACTTAAGAGTAATAGTAAGAAATTATTATTTATAAAATTTTATTTTTATTATACTTTGGGATAAAATTTTTTTAACATTATTTTATAATTTAAGATAAAATGAGTAATAATTTTATGACTATCAAATTTAAATTGATTTGACAAAAATGAGACTACTAGAACTTTTTAATTTCTGCCATTATTACCTAATAAGTTTAAACAATTGGAAGAGCACATGTTGCCAACTCACACACTTAATAAAAAGACGAACTTGATTTATATATTTTATTTTATATTTATTAAAATAAAAATTATAAATTTTAATAAATTTATACTATTATATTTAACTTGATGATAAATTTAATTTTAAATATTTTTATAAATTAATTATTCAGATATACTTTAGACTAAATTTAAATTTTATAAATAATAATTTTTTAACTCTTTCAAAATTTCATTTTGAAAATTATCTTTATTTTTAATATTATAGTTATTAAAATAAAAAATTTAAAAAAAAATTGGTATTAAATTCAGACTGTTCATAATATATTTGAATACTTAATTTATAAAATTTATAAAAATATTAATATTAAATTAAATTATTTAAATTAAATATGTATTATTAAGATAGGTGATAAGATATATTTATTAAAATTTTGAAATTTTTCAAATAAAAATATAAAAAATAAAATTTTAAAATGTATGGCATATGAGCGCCGCGGTGCTCACAAAACTGGTCTCAAAACGAAACACGCTCGAATCAGCCAAGACTTTATGGGCCGATTTAAAATTGTTTTTATTTTATTATTTTAAAAATTAATGTTTTGTAGAATATATTTTAAAAATAAAATAATAAAAATATTTTTTTATTTTTTCTTATTTTTTAAAATAATAATCACATATCATTTAAAAGTTATTTTAATTTATCTGTTTTACAAAATAATATTTTATTATTTTAAAATATTTTTAAAAAATATATTATTAAACAGATTTTTTTATTTTCTTATTTTAAAAAATAAAAAATTATTTTTAAAATAGGTTTTCAAGCAAATCCTATATTCATATATGTCATTGTCATCTGTGGGTCCTCATTATAACTCCATCAGTTTTTGCGGAAATGACATAGATCCCGAATGCCAAGACTTATTTATTATTTATTTATTTATATAAGTTTTATTTTTATATTTAGTAAAATAAAATTTATAAATAATAATAAATTTATTTTATTAATTTAATTTGAATGATCTAATTTAATATTAAATATTAAATTTTTTTATAATAAATATAAAATAAAAATTTGAAAGTAGAATTTAAAAAACTGGAGTCAAGATTAGTCCAGATGCAAGGTGCAGAAACCAAACACGCCGGAACCCAAGACTATAAGCATGTTTGGATTAGTTTTTAATTTAAGTTAGAATGGGCAAAACTGAAATTAGGACATAAAAAGCTCAAAAACTATTATTTGAATGAGTAAAAAATTCCAACTGAAATTAAGGTATAAATGAGCACTTTTCTCCAAGCTATAAGACATACTCTATTTACATTGACGTTCAATGTTGTCTCTCTCTTTTCATCTATTGACTCAGGCTCCTGCTTTGCTTTATTTATTATTTTTTATTCATTTATTATTTTTATTTTCTGTTTATTTATTTACCTACCCAAACTCCAACGTTAAATGTCAAAAAATATAAAACATTAACACTTATTTTTATTTTTTATTCATTTATTATTTAGATTTTCGATCATATCATTTTCCCTCAACTTTATATATTTATTTTATTTAAATTTAAATTGTATAAAACTAGAGTGCTTTTTTTTTCGGAAAAGTTTTGCTTTTAATGAATATATATAAGTATAAAATAATAACTACTTGTGTATGTATAACTTAAAATTGAAATTATATAAAACTTGATTTTTAAGTTTAATATTTTTTATTTATTAGTTAGTCAAAGAATATATACAAAAAAAAATTCATGCTTAATTTTTCTATTAGGTATTTCAACTGATTTTTAAATTAAATCATCCAAACGAATTTTAATTTATCTAATTGACTTCTAAAAAAAATATTCAAATATAAATCATGTTACATTAATTGATTTTTTCTCTAATCTCAATTTATTAATTTTAATTTAATTTTAATTTTAATTGTAAATTTTTTAATTTAAACACACATATTTCTTCACTTATTGTCGTGTGTGGCTTGTGGGTCCTTATTGCAATTTTACCATTGCTTGCTACGAGCATATTAAAGGGCTGCCCAGGTCAAGAAAAAAAAAATATTAAAGGGCTGCGAGTGTGTCTGGAATTGAGCAGCTGCATTTTCTCCCTGTTACCGCCACCATTTATATTTTAGGGAAGATGACAATTAAGTCTTAAAAGATTAATTTTATATCAGTTAAGTTCCAAAAAATTCTAAAAGGCCAATCAAGTCCCATGTTATTTTTTCCCAATCAGAATTACGAAAAAAATGACAAAAATGCCCCTATGAGTAAATATAACATGTATACTCATCATCTCCAACATTTCCCTCCCGATTTGTCTCTTTCCCGTCATTAATGAGAGGTGCATGTAAGAGGTAGAGCTGTACGTTGAAGAGTACCCATTCCTGAAACAGAGTTATGCTTGGAAGAGGTGGAGTTGCCTTAATTATTGACTCAAGGAAGCTTAAGGTTTTGTGCTGGTGCGTGTAGATAGGTATTTTTTTTTTTTGCAAATCCTTTCATCTGAACAAAAAGGTTTACTCCATGAAGGTCTGATTTCTTGTAAAATGGCTTTCGTAAGGAAAAAGATGGAACGGTTTTCTGCAACTGAACATGAAAGAATTTTTTTATTTGACGTTATAAAATATTTGGCATGAAGATTCGACATTTTGCAATTGAAAGTGTAAGAAATTATCATCAAGTGTCTATATTTTAAGATGAAACGCTGTCACTGTTTGACTGATGCGAAAATCACTTATGTCAAAAGTAACTTGTTTCTAAGTGATATATTATTACATTTTATTTTGTTTCTTGTAAGTTGATATTATTGGGTACGATGGAAAGCAGTTGTGTAAAGGAAATTTTTTGTTATTTTTATTTTGGTGGAGATATTGTAAAAGATATGCATGGGACAATGCGTTATAATGGGGGGAGCTGTAATGGAAGAATGATTAGAGAAGGAATGTCTCTTGAAGGACTTGTTAGATTGATTTCATCATACTTGAATTGTGATTTAAATGGAATAGAATTGAAGTACAAAGTAAAATTTGATTACAATGCTCTTTTAGACCTTAAAGATGATGAAGGGATAAATCAATTAATGAAATTGAATGATAATTTTGCTCATGTGTACATAATTGGGAAGATACAACAAAGTACAGAGGCAACAAGAGATTCAATTGATGGGTGAGTTTTTTTAATAGTTGCATATTTAATATTATGCTAATATAAATATGGATGGTAGTAATAAACATGATTTGAATGAAAATGCAGAGTAGGATGTTCAGCTGAGAATTCACATGCTACATAAGATCTTGAAGTTCTACCATGTGCAATACAAAGTATCCCAACACCAATGCCTGAGCTAAATGCAATAAAGTGGAAGGATTTTCTAGTAGGACCTGGGCAGATTTTTGTGAGTACTGATGATTGTAGACAAGCAATCTACAAGTATAGTATTGCACACAGGTTTGAATATAAATTTGTGAAGAACAACATAAATAAAATAATTTCAGTTTGCAAGGTAAAAGGATGTCAATGGAAGATAACAGCATATTCATTAAGGAAGTCTATGCCCTTACTTCGTGTAACAACTTTCAAGAATGAGCACTTACATTCTGCCCAAGAAGACCTTGAAGTTTCTTACAGTACAAGGTGCACACTGACTTCGTTTATAATTGATGATGCAGTAAGTTTTAATGTGGAAAAAAGACCCAATAAAATCAAAGCTGACATATATAGAGACTATGGCATAAGTCTAACTTATCGTCGAGCTTTAAGAGCGAAAGAGAGGGCATTGGTGGAAATAAATGGGCTTCCTGACCAATCATATATGCTTGTTCCTTGGTTGTGTAATAGACTAATGGAGACTGATGCTGACACTATAGCAAAATGGGTGGCTTCTGAGAACAATAGATTTGAACGTTTATTTATTGAATATGATTGTTCCATTAAAGGATTCTTGCTTGGGGCTAGGCCTATTTTATATGTGGATGGATGTTTCCTCAGTGGTCCTTATCAAGGCACCTTACTGGCAGCTTCAACATACGATGCCGATAATGAGTTGTTTCCATTAGCTTTTGCAATAGTTGGGAGTGAAACTCATGATGATTAGACTTGGTTTCTTCAAAATATTAAAGATATCCTTGGTTCGCTACAGGTAACTATTGTTTTTGATAGAAATAATGCTATTATTGGTGCTGTTCGAGCTATATTTGATGGTGATAGACATGCATTTTGCTATCGACATTTTAAGGAGAATTTTAGCTTTGAGTTTAACAACGTTTGTAGGGGAATGGGAAGGAACAGCAAAGAAGAGGCACTAAAGTTGCTTGATTACATTGCCTATGCAAGGCATGAGCACGAATTTCATATAGCCATGAGAAATTTGAGGATGTTCTCTCCACAATTACCAAGATGGGTTGAAAATCAAGGCGATGTTGATCGGTGGGCACTATCATTGTTCCCATTTCGAAGATGGGATAAGATAACAACCAACTTGGCTGAATCATTCAATGCATGGATTCTTAAGGAGAGGAGGCATAATATATGTGTTCTTATAAATGAGCATAGAGACAAGTTGAGCAAGAAATTTTTTGCAAGTAAGGCAGCCATGAGTAAGTGGAAAAGCATAGTTGGTCCCAATGTTGAAGCAAAGTTGAAGGAAAATATTTTTAGGGCAGAAGTTATGATAGTTCAGCTGTATGGCTCATATATTGCATTGGTTCGGACACCGTGTGGAGATGTATGTGTGAATCTGATACTAAGGGAATGCACATGCAAAGTTTGGCAAATGTCTGGCATTCCTTGCCCACATGCTTGTGCAGCCATTAAAGAAGTGCATGGTAATGTGTATAACTATGTCAAGAAATGTTATCTTCATAGCTCACAAGAGAAAATATACAGTGGCACTATGCATCCTGTTGAGACCCATGACATGCCAAAGCCAAATGCGTTGACAGTGTCTTAGCTCATGAACCAAACCTTTTTGCTGCCTCCTAGAACATCTCGACCAGTTGGTAGACCGCGTCATGTGAGGATTGAGTCTCAACATCAACAAAAGAAGGTTTATCATTGTTCTCGCTGCCATGAAGTGTAACATCCTGATTTTTTATATAATAAAGAAATTGTGGAATTTAGGTTTTGAGAAAAAAATAATAATAGGAATTTATATTATTTGAGGTTATTTAGAAATAATATTATGGTTAGGTATTTAATTATGAATTTAAAATTTAAATTTAAAACCACATAAGCAATATTTAGTTAAGATATAATACATAAATAATTTTTTTATGTATGTGTTAAAAAAAAGAGAAGGTAGAAGGAACAAAAAAAAGGGGTGGAAGGTTGTTGTTTCTAAGTCCCACATTAGTTAGATGAGGGAAAAGATGAGGTGCCTTCATGTATAAAAAGAAGGGGGTATGTGCATTAGGAAGCATGAGAGATTAAGATGTAATTTAGAGAAAATTGCAACTTATGGCCCACAGGTTTGAATAATTAAATTCAGACCTATAGTTTTTTTTAATATAATTTTGGGACCCAAAATCTCATTTTTATATTATTTTTCTCTCTTCCTCTCACATTGCTCGGCGTTTTCTCATAAGGGGGTATTATTTTCTTTTTCTTCAGGTATGTTCTAACTTTCCTGTTTAGATTAGCATTTAAAAATTTATTTAATTACAAAATTAATTTTATAGTTATTTTCTAAATAATATTAGCTTTCTAGTGATATGATTATTTTATAGGATAGAGTAAATATTCTGATTAGGATTTTTTTTATAGGATAGTTAATCTGATGATATGATGGATTAAAACTATAGGTTAAAACTCTTAGGGATATAATAAATATTATAGAATATTTTCTTGAGGTTGAAACTCATGTTTAAGAATTTTTGAGTTAAAATCTAGATCTATATGGTTGAATTTATATGGAATCTGAGATGTAGGGATAAACTTCTGATTATTAAATATTTATTTAAGTATGAATAGGTATTTTTGAGGTTATAGAAAGGTGATTTGAGGCTTCAGGATAATTCTAAAATTTTTAATTTATTTTTAGACGAATTTTTAGAATATAGAAGGATGAAATTGTGATACTAGAAGTAATTTGAGGCTTAAAAATAGTTTATTAGGGTACGAGAATTTTAGAAAAGAATTTGAAAAGTTAAATGAGGCATAAATCTTAAATTAGTGTTAATATGGATTATAGATCTAAGACTTTCTAACTCTTTAAATTAGAGTTATATATTTTAATGTAAAATTAATATATAGTATTATGAAATAACTATGTAGATTGTGTTGACAAAGATAGTGGTGAAAGAGGAGTTGTGAAGGGAAACTTGTTATTCAAGACACAAGGTAACCATTATTAATGTGTTGTGATGGGTGTGTTTGTGAATGGTTATGTGTTGTTTTATTGTTTGGAAAAATTATGAATTATTAAAAATAAATACTGTATATACTTGTTTGAAATTATTGCCAAGTGGGTCAAAAATTTATTTTTATTTATCATGATGAGATATTATTGTTCGGATATATTCTTGTTTGGATATTTGAATGATGCATGACTTGTCAGGGTATTTTAATGTATGGTGTTAATGGGAATTTCTGTTTGGTTAATTATTACCACGTGGTAAGCCCTCATTGGACCCAATGAGTGGCGTGTCGCTTGGTCCAACTCACCTTTGGCCGGGTGATTTGGTGTCCGAGCATAACGAAAGGAGGATATAAGGTGCAGTCATGTAAATTAAATACTTGTTCGGTTTATTTGAAAATATTGTTTGGTTAAATGTTTTGTGTGCCCACTTAGCAATCGCATGATTAATCACACCCGCATGCATCATTACATATTAATTTTTGGTTACTGAGACTTTTAAGTCTCATTTCCCGTGGTTAATATTTTTACAGGAGCGAGTCCGGCCGAGAAAGCACCAGAGGTGTAATTATGGTGTATGAGACACCATCTTTTTCGTTGCCTCTTATTTTGGATTATACAATGTATCTTGTGCCAACTTAGAATATATCTTCTTTGTGGAGCATGTAAACCCTAATCTTTTTATTAAATGCATTTATATGTCCAAGAGGATTATGTCTGTCCCTTTTGATTCATGACCTGATTTGAATAACATGCTATGAGGATCATGTCTATCCTTCATAGTTCTAATTGCTTTTTGAGATATTTTAAGACCTGTGGTATATTGTCTTGGATGTATCATGGTAGAAATTTTTCTACCATGATAAGGGTTCAATGAAAAAGGAAAAAAAAGGATTTGTTGAATTAATAATTTGTGAAAATCAGTTTGTATTTTTGAGGGTGTTACATGAAGCAGGTCATACGAGGAAGAGGTGTAGAAATCCAAATCCAAGTTGATGTTATTGTAAATGGGTTACCACATGAACTTGGATTTGGGTGACATAAACATAATGGTTGTTTTAGGGGTTTTTTTTGGCATATAGCAGCCCCTGTTTTTAAATCCAAGTTGATGTTTCTACAACATGAGACTAGATCAACTTGGATTTGGTTGACATGTATAAGTTTATGCAGATATATATTGGTAGTATTAGGGGTTTTTTTGGTACATAGCAACCCTTCGTTTGTAAATACAAGTTCATACCTTTATGTATGTGGACAACTAATATGTGCAGATGTATTAGATGAATTAATACATGTTTCTTACATGAACAGTTCATATCTTCTAGTTCGACGATCCAAAATTTCATGTATGAGTTGCCAATTTTTCGTAAGGAATTTGCAAAATTTGGTGTCTAAATTGCAAAATACTTCTACGAATTCAATAGTTCTTCGATCCAAAATTTCGAGTAGTAGTTACAAATTATTTCTAAGGACATTGCAAAATTTGATTTCTCACTTGCAAATTACTGGAGCTTTGTCCTAAAGGAGTTAACTCTTCAACGAATTTAATAGTTCTTCGATCCAAAATTTGAAGTACCAGTTGCAAATTGTTTCTAACGGCATTGCAAAATTTGGTTTCTCACTTGTAAATTACTGGAGCTTTGTCCTAAAAGATTTAACTCTTTAATGAATTTAATAGTTCTTCGATCCAAAATTTGGAGTACTAGTTGCAAATTGTTTCTAAGGGCATTGCAAAATTTGGTTTCTCACTTGCAAATTACTTGAGCTTTGTCCTAAAGGAGTTAACTCTCCAATGAATTTAATAGTTCTTCAATCTAAATTTAGAGTACCAATTGCAAATTGTTTCTAAGGGTATTGCAAAATTTGGTTTCTCACTTGCAAATTACTGGAGCTTTGTTCTAACGGAGTTAACTCTTTAACGAATTTAATAGTTCTTCGATCCAAAATTTGGAGTACCAGTTGCAAATTATTTCTAAGGGCATTGCAAAATTTGGTTTCTCACTTGCAAATTACTGGAGCTTTGTCCTAAAGGATTTAACTCTTCAATGAATTTAATAGTTCTTCGATCCAAAATTTAGAGTACTAGTTGCAAATTGTTTCTAAGGGCATTGTAAAATTTAGTTTCTCACTTGCAAATTACCGGAGCTTTATCCTAAAGGAGTTAACTCTTCAACGAATTTAATAGTTCTTCGATCCAAAATTTGAAGTACCAGTTGCAAATTGTTTCTAAGGATATTACAAAATTTGGTTTCTCACTTGCAAATTACTGGAGCTTTGTCCTAAAGGAGTTAACTCTTCAACGAATTTAATAGTTCTTCGATCCAAAATTTGGAGTACCAGTTGCAAATTGTTTCTAAGGGCATTGCAAAATTTGGTTTCTCACTTGCAAATTACTGGAGCTTTGTCCTAAAGGAGTTAACTCTTCAACGAACTTAATAGTTCTTCGATCCAAAATTTGGAGTATCAGTTGCAAATTGTTTTTAAGGGTATTGCAAAATTTGGTTTCTCACTTGCAAATTACTGGAGTTTTGTCTTAAAATAATTACTTTGTTGAGAATTCATTACTTACCCCACCCAAAATTTTGACACACAGTTGCGACATTGGCTATATATAATTGATTTGGTTGCTTGTTCAGCTTGCTTGATAGTCACATCGAGTGTTTTATTTAGAAAATTGCATGATTCATTTGTTACATTGAATTAGATCACCATATGATTAAAGTAATATAAATAGCAGCCCGGCTGTATCAATTGGCAGGAAATACATGTTATTTTAATTTGTTGAAAATAATAAGTATTAATTAGTACCTGTGATATAAAATCCAAATAGAGGTGTTGGCAATCTTGTTTACACAAAATCATAATTCAGTTAGGTAAAATGCATGCATGTGACCAAATTTTGATCAAATAACATGTTTTGGATACAAAATTAATCAAGCATATCCCACAAAGGCCAGCCTAATTTTGCAGCTAAAAATTCTATTCTTATACACCCTGCAATGTATTGGTAAAAATATTCTTATAAGCCCTAAAATTTGGATACAGCTTCAAATTCAATTGAGCATGTCCTCACTTGTACAAATTACATAGTCCACCTTCAGCTAAAACACGTGAGGGAAAAAATTGTAGAAGGGGCAATTTCTACAAAATCAGAATGGTGAACGTTGATGAGGAGCAGGACCTTCAGCGAGGCAAATGCATCACACCCATCAAAGATTAATGATGAAAACATGTCACAGACTAAAAATTCATCTACACTTCTTTCCTGCCCTCTTTGGTCGATTAGCTGCTGAGACAGAGGCAAATACTTCATTTCTTACTTCATTTCTCGTGCGATTTACCAGCCACCACACCACATCCACCCTAAACTGTCTCAATTGTTCCTAAAAAAAATATAAAGAAAGTTTAAGTTTCACATTGATAATTGGAAGAAAAAAATTAGAAAGATTATGGATCACATATACATACATTTGAAAAGTCTTCCATGGTCAGTCCTCCTTTTCTTCTTCTACCATCCCATTCTGTACAGTACTTTATGACATATACCCCACAATCATCTCTACAAATATGAGCAATTAAGGTAAAGCAAATTGTCT